ATATAATCTTCAATACTTAAAAAGGTCTTATTTAAATAAATAATAAGATGGTTCTAATTATTAAATACGACATTAACCTTATTTAAAATTAAGTACGGAACATTTAATGTTAGACATGATTCTCATTTTATTAAGCCATATAACATTTATACCTTTTTTAATATTACCAGCCATGCCATCTTCAGGACTATAAGCCATAGCAGGGGTGAAACCCCCATCCCCTAAGGTCCATGGCGCAAGAAACTATCCCCCTCCTCCTTACAAGATATTTCATTGCTCACTTTTTCTTAAAAACAGAGCAAGCTAAGATAGAATTAGAAAAATCGAATAACATTTGCAGTGACCTGTTTCATGTTTTCTCCTTTTACCTTAGTCCGAAAATTCATAACACCGTCCGAATTTGCCCCCCAAAAAAATTCAAAATATGCCTCTCTCAAAAATTTTGATGGTGCGCGTGCGCCATGAAACCTCCTGGGCACTCCTGAGCCATAGCAGAAAATTCAGGTTATACGTTCATATTTTTTTCATCCCATTGTGAAATTGATTAATAAACTATTCCACGTGATGATTGCAGATACCATTGTGATAAATATTATCCGTTTAAATATTAATAAAACGAATTAATTTAAATTAGTTTTTAGATACAAGGTTATTCTGTTGATTTCTCACTTTACGTAATGTGGTGATAAACTCCATCCGTTTTATTATGACATAAATACCATTGATTTCAAAGTATAAAATTTTATTTTAAAATACATAATTCACTCATAATAAGCCACTGTTTTGACAATTAACCTTAATCGTGTCAAATTGGGACAATAAAAGAAAATAGGAGAAATAGGTCTCGTTATGGTCATAACTTTTTATGATCACTGAGATTTTTTGAAAAATTTGTCTGAAGCTTCGTCTTTTTTTGCAACAAATGTCAATATTTTAACATACTTTTGTTGTTTTTGATAACTTATCCTCGAAAACTATTTGTTTCTTCGAGAAAACTTTTTACAAAATAAATATACATGAAGTTTTCTACATTTCAAGTCCACAAAGTTAGTTCCTACGATCAATCCTTCCTACAGTGGCTTGATAATAATTAATTAATAATTATTATTAATAATTATATAATAATTATTATTAATTATATAATTAATTATATAATTATTATTAATTATTATTATATAATTATATAATTATGTAATTATTATTAATTATATAATTATTATTAATAATTATTAATTATTAAGCCACTGTACCCTTCCGCGCCTAACGCGCTGTAAAACAGACCTGAGCAAAAAAGTATTTTAATCATTATATTGAACTACAGTAATTAAAATACCAAGTATTTCATGTTTTTAAAAAAGTAGTTTACTTTAATTACTAAGTATTTAAATTGTTTTCAGAATAATTACTTCAAATATAAAATACCAAAATTATTTTGTGTTTTAATTACAAAAAACAAAATACGTCTACTTAAGTGCCGCTGTTTAACAAAAAAATAGGTTGATTTTTGCAAGTAAATGAGGTATAAGATTAAAAGACAGTGGATCTGTATTCAAAACAATGTGAATAAATAACTTTGTTCGATTGATATTATTAATGAACATAATAAATGAATTTTTATAAATTCATAAGCTATAGCAGGTTTAGGATAACTTTAATAATAGAATAGGAGAACTTAGGGTTTTTAGTGAAATAAGTGACGTTTTGTCAAGTCAATTCATTTTCAATACTCTCTAATGTATTAAATTTATTGAATCCTAGCTTTTTCCAAGTTAAAAGTACTTGAAAATATTATTAAATGTATGTTATATTTTTTTTTTTAAATGCAAAATTATATCATTTGAAATACTATCTAGCTCTGCTGTAAAATTGGGTAAAGTCGCAAAAGTAACATTAACACGGTTCATGACTCTTTAAATCCGATTTTTATGAGAAAAAAAATATATTACGATTCTGTTGTTCATGAATTGTTTGAATTTCATAAAATACACTAAAACATATCAAAAGTGCGTTCACATATAGTATACTGGAACAAACGAAATAATTGCGAGAGAAGTCTGGCAAATTTATTTTTTCATTTTAATATCATAAAAGAAATTTATAATTTGAGATGACATGATCGACGGATTCATATATAACGAATTGTATATAACGTCATTATATAGCTAATAATGATTTTTAATGAATAACAATACTGAAAGTCGATAGGAAAGAACGAGACCTAGGTGGTGGAAAGAGGAAAGACAGCTATTGTATGTTTAGGAGATATTTAATAATAGAATTGGAGAACTTAGGGCTTTTAGTGAAATTAAACTTGTTGTGCTTGTTCCGATACATCAAAAAGAACGCCAACATTGGTAATTTCCATGAAATTCGAAAGTAAATAGCCATAAACCGCGTTTATGATACTTTTTAGAATTACACTCCTATTGCGCTCTAGTGATCTTAAGGATGGAGAAAAACTTTATAAACATAAAATACATAAAATATATTTTAGTTTTCTTATATTATCAAGATTATTTCCCTTCCCCATTTTTATAGAAAGGTAAATATCAATGTCTATAACATTGAAAACTATTATAATGACTATCAAATATTTGTCTCGATCCAAACATTCGTCCAATCACAACTGTGAAATAAAATGTCTTTGAACTTTATTTTCTACTTATAAAATACAAAACAAGACCGCAAGCATAGTTCGTTGTTGATGTTGTTATATAACATTCATTAACCGTGTCCTCATGTAATGATTAGCTATAAGTATCGAAGGCTTTAACTGCGTTGATTGAAAGTGAAGTGTATTGAAAGCAACTAGCCTTCGCAAAGGTTAACTGACATCTTAGGCAATTTGCAACGAATCGAAACAAAGGATCTTTCCCTACGACATCGGCCACCCATTTCCACACCGCTCTCAATCATCTATTGTCATCTTCCTATTATGCAAATATCTCTTCAAGTTTATCATCTCGGTTATGCTTTATATAATCGTTACATACCTATCATAATTGAACGTAGCCATTGAAAAATGAAACATAAATATGTAAAACTTTCGTCTATATCTTCTATGACTTAATTTAAAAAAAAAAAATCCTTATAAGTCATATTGAAACACCTTATTGTTATTGCACAAATAATTTCTGACGGGAGAGATAGTAAATATTTCCAAAACTATTTGTTTGGCAATTTATTTTAAATTAGTAATACTTCAAAGCAAATCACTCTCTATATTTATTTTTGGGATATGTTTAATCGATGTATGATTACTTCTTCAGAGAACTGTTTTTGAACTTCTCACTAGCTTAAGTATGACGGCATGTTTGATGGTATACTCGTAGTAATTGAATTTTACAATTAAGAAATGCACCGCTAATGGTATCCTGCCAGAATATTCTCTCTCATTATCTCTTCTTGATATTATCTTTTGATATATAACGTCAAATTTATTGTAATCTATATTTATTAATTATCAAAGTGGCGTACAACGAACACAGGACATTGAAGTTAACAAGAGTAAAGAAGTCCCAGATCCTTAAAGGCCCGTGAAAAGTTGGCTTCTCTTTCCAACTTAGGACTTGTTTCCACTTTATCAAACTCGTCTAAGCCTCGGAAAAGATTATTTCATTCTTAATTTACCCATTCCTTGAATAAAATATCCTCCTTGATCATTTTTAGTCAGATCTCAGTTCCTATTAAATGTATTTTTCATATAATTTTAATTCATATTTTAACAGGACTGTTTATTGCAAAACCGAATCTACCGGGAGAGGGCTTTCATACTGAAGCTCCTCCCCCCCAAAATGGTAAAATGTAGCCATGTTTTATAAACAAAATTATCTCTAAAAGTATTAATGTTCGTCTAATTACATTTAATAGGATTTAAAGAATCACTTAGACACCATTTCATAAAGGTACTTAGTTTCTTTCTTCTGAAGTAATTATCATAATATATACATGAAGCTGAAGCCCCCCAAAATTAAATCCTGGATCGTTAGTGGTTTATTGCATACAATCGTCTTTGATAAAAATTACTCAAGATTATGGACCAGCAGAAAAAATATTATCCTAGTTTCCTTTGATTTTTAAAACCTTTGTCTCTTTAATTATTCATACAATTTTCCTCGCCAAACTACACTATGGAATAATACCTTAATTTGGTTTTGCTACTTCTCTTTCCATTTCCAAACAGTCACCATTACTATAAAATTTGTTAAGCTACCTCTTTAACATTACTAAAATACTATTTATTTCTCTACTTCAATTATTATTGTTCTGCTTTCAGTTAAAGAATAAATATTTATTGTAAATATATCTACCTATACATAAACATGCATCTATTCTATTTAAATTTTTTTTTTTATTATTAGTCTTTTAGTTTAAAATTTAATTAATTACTTGTGCTGCTTGAATTGAGCATTTTGTTATTCTTAAGAGACAAAATGTCACAAAATAAAGACCAATTTTCCGTTTCATTTCAAATATAATAGGTAATAAGTTTGATATCATTTATTTAATCTTCTATCTATTCAAATAACCATGTCTATCAGTTGAGCATGTTGAAAACTTTACATCTTAATAGCTATAGATCAACTTTACTAACCCTTATTCCTGCCTTTACTAACCCCTACCTTAAAAAAATAAGAGGACTATTCAGATCTATTCTGCAGTTCCTGGGAGGAAATTAAAATCTTTAAGGTACTTAAGTACGCAACAAACATACTAATGAAACTTATTTTCATTAATTGGCCAATTTATTAAAATCATAAATTGTCATTTATTTATAAAAAAAAAAAATATCAAAATAGCTGCTTATATTAAAACTAAACATCAAACTTTAAATTTTTAAAAACATAGGTTTATATGTAATGATGTATTCAATATTGCTAGTTATAAAACATTCCTTCATTTTTGCATTTGACTAAAATAAATTAAAAAACTATTTTGAGATAATGTATTATAGTTGGTAAACACTGTTGTAAATTAATCATAACTTATTGATTTTTTAGGTGAGTTTGGGAAGTATCAACTATATCAGTGCATCCTGTTAATTATAACTGCACTCACCGCTGGAATGCATACTTTGTCCATTGTCCCAATCAATGGCATACCCAATCATAGGTAACAAGATTAGTTGTAATAAGGTTGATACATTTATAAATAAATATATATTTAGTTCTGCTGGTAAATACTAAATATATATTCATATTTAGTAAATATTCATATTTTCTCATGTTACTCATATAAAATTATTATAGATGTCAAGTGCCATGGCTTGAAAATGAAACTGATCTGGCGTGGGACTCACCGACTGCGCTGGCTGCGATCCCTTTAAAACCCGACGGCTCATACAGTTCCTGTCTCCTCATCAACCCAACCACCAACCTTACTGAGGCTTGTGACAAATGGGTCTATGACAAGACACATTTTAAGCATTCCCGAACTGTAGAGGTACCATAACAAATCAATTTTGTCTGTATTTTTGTTTCATTGCATTTTGCATTACCTTATAAATATTTAAATTTATTAGATAACTATAGAAATTGTAAGTATCTTACTAAAAAGATACTAGTTAGTTTCACTTATTATTATGTGTTGTGTTATATTATTTGGATTTTTGAATTGATGGAGCAACCCAACCAACTATTCTTATTTTAGTAATTATTTCCTCAAAAAATTTATTGAACTGTAATTATTATTGAAGACCACAAATTATGTATAAGCCTTTATTCTTCCTAACCAGATATTGCAGAACTGTCCTAATATCAATTAAAATAATTAATTAATTACAAAAATGCATCACAAATAATTTCTTATGAATTTCATTTTCATCTTTTTTTTAAGCCAATCAATGACATTATCTCTTATTGATAAAAACTATACAATCTTAGATTGTATAAATTTATATACAGAAGAAGTTGGTTGGTCAGTAATAAAAAATACTCGGTTTAAAAATTATTTAAATGTGTGCCGATGTTTCATCCAACATTTTTGGACTCAATAAGAACTAAATAGAAACAAAATAACAACCAGTAGGAATAGGAATAAGAAAACTACAAGAGAATAAGAATCTAATAAACAACATGAAAGTGTTATGATAAATCAAATTTTTATTAGAACATGGAACATGGAAATTTTTATTTAGATATAAATAAAATATTAGAAATTTTAAAAGTAACAAAAAAATTAAATTAAATATAAAGTGATACAAGTCCAACGAATAAGTAATAAAACAGAACTTAATAAGATGTGATGATAACCACATCTTAACATTACTTTATAAAGTGATTATACAAGTAACAAAAATGAATAAGAGTAGAAATGAGGAATGAATGGTATAGTGGTGTCAAGAAAGAAAATAACTATTAATAATTAAAAGAACATTCCAATAGGTTCAATAGGTACAAGTTTCTCAATATCAGATCTTCTGCAATTAGTTCTTTGGCTGACAATACTTACTCCATTATATAAATTTTAATTCAAAAGTTTTACTTAATTTATCCTATGTAAAGATATTTGTGCTGCTAAAAAGTATACTATTTCCAAAAATATCTAAGAAACGGGAAGATGGTTATGAATAAACTAGACATGAATATATATGCTTTTCCAAAAGCTGCCTTAACATCTTTGTCATATTGCTAAGTGCTTTGTCTGCATCACAACTTAAATTGAGAACTATCATTACAAAATATTGTTTTTATTTTAATTGAAAAATATTCTTAAAATTGGTTTTCCTACTAACCCATGAGCCAAGTGCTGTGGTGTCGGGTTATGCTTCTTAATGTGTAAGAAATTTACTATTGCATATTAAATGACAATTTTAAATGTTTAAACTAAAACAAGTAAATTTTTTCACAAATGTAAGATATAAAAGAAAAAAGATTCTACTACTCATCTGTTACTAGTGGGACCTGGTCTGTGATAAGAAGTGGCTTGGAGCCTTGTCTAAATCTATCTTCATGTTAGGTGTCTTTACTGGTTCATTCACATTGGGTATTCTTGCAGACAAGTAAGTAACATGAGAAAAAATTGTTCAAATGCAATAGGTTCTAAATTAATAAAAAAAAGATCTAAAAAAAATAAACTAGACGACCCCCCAGACAAATTGATGTTCCTGGCGGAACTTGAGATAACCTGGGGAAGCTAAATTTATATATTGCTTTTTCAGATACGGGCGGAAGAAGACACAATGTTGTACACAAACCATTCAGCTCATCATTAGTATTGGTATTGCATTCATCAACAACTACTATGTGTACTTGGTTGCATCATTTCTATATGGCGTGTTTGGCTCAGCTGGTTCGTACATACCAGCCTTTGTCATTGGTATGTACTTCGAAATATTTTAAAATCTAGTAAATATCTAAGAACTACAAACTCTTCATTATATTGACTTAGACATAACACAAATCCTATGTGCTTAGTTCAACACAATATTTCATTTATTAGCTGGAAGAAATCAATAATTGGTATTTAGATCACTGGTTAATATTTAGTGTCATAAATCCAAAAGTTTATCAGTACAATCAGAGCAGATTCCCAATGGAAGAAAATCTAAGCTTATATCCTATGATGACATTAAATTCCCTTAATAGAATCACTACTTAATGTAGTCGTCCCAGATCAACCTCCTTCAAAGACACTTCCCCTCTCCTGTGGTCTTCCAACTTGCTGCACGGTATATGGGGGCGTCTCTGGGGATCTCGAGGCGAAACTAAAATGTTTGATAAATTGCTTTGTACGATTCATCTTCGGGATCCCAAGAGACGCCCCTGTTTCCTGTTTCTATGAAGGGTTGAAGTAGTTTTATCCTTCCTACCGCCGTAAGTATTTCCTGGCATCCTTCCACTTCCAAGTAATTCACTCCCGCAGTCCTTCATACATCGCCAAGCTCCTTCAATTCAAATCCTCTGTCCACTCCGGCAATACCCGTTCCCAGTCTTCAGATTTATATATAATGGCCCACCGAACCGCTGCTTTCGATAAATCTTTTATTATTCGATCCTCTTCTCTATGGAACTCTATCCCTCCCCACATCCGTCAATCCAAAACCCTTGCTACCTTTAAATCCCAACTGTTTAATCATTTCTTATCCATCCAGTCCTGATAAAATTGTAAATAGTTACTACTGTAAATATGTATATAAATTATTAGATCGTTCTTTATTATTTTTACTTCATGTTTATTTTCAATTTTTTATTTTTTATTATTAACTGATGTAAATTAGAAAGTAACTTATAATTTATTTTATTATTTATTTTTTATTTATTTATATATTTTATTTATTTTTTTTTACTATTTAATCAAACTATATTCTTGTTTATGTATCTCTGAGGCTCTTTAGCCCACATTTTTGTCCCTCTGTATTATTCTAAAGGGTCTCGTCCCAGAATAAATAAAGCATTATTATTATTATTATTACTTATACAAATTATAAACATTTAGAAAGAATGCAGACTTTGTTCTAGAAAATTATAATTACTATATAAGCCAGAACGATTGGCAAGTGAAATGATTTAGTCTTACAAATATTCCAACAAACCCAAACTCAGAACTATTTTAATGTTTGAAGCTATGAATACTTCAATCACGCTGTCCATGAGATCTTGAAAGAAGCACATTGTGTCTGATTTTAGACAAATTCCCAAATCTTTCTCAGAAATAGAGGTAATTTAAGAAATAAATTTAACTGTGACTATAACAGGTTTGTCATCACTTACTAGAATTTGTAGGTTAGATTACATAACCCATCTTTTAAGGAGATGTTAATTAGGCTTGTTAGTGTTTATTAAAATCTCTGCGGGTTTTATTAGATTCCATCTTTTGGACTTCTGCTCGCTCAACAGAAGTCCAGTATACTTCTACTCGCTTGTACAGTAATATTCTATTTTTTTATATTTTTTTTTATACCTCAACTTTTTATTTACCTCCACTGTGACTGATTTTTATTTTATTTACAACAAAGTACATAATCTTCATTTCTTTACACAAATCATATATTATTACTAAGCAACCAGGTTATATTATCAATAGTAATATTTTTTGAATAGAAAGGTTATTGTTATAAAATTATGTGATAATTATTTATTTTATTGTCCTTCTTCAGCAATGGAGTTAGTGGGGCCTTCAAAGAGAACAACATGGGGCTTGGTGTTTCAAGCCATGTTTGCAGTTGGTATTATGTTAGTTGCATTATGGGCTTACCTCATCCCAGACTACTTCACACTTCAGGTTGTCATTGGGTTACACGTACTTCTGGCCATTGGCAACTGGTGGTAAGGATTATAACTATAAATTATTATTGTGTCCATGCTTCTAACACTTCACTACTTGTTCATTTTTTTTTTTTTTTTTTACGAAAGAATAAAATATAAATTTGTACAATTTTATGAAATAAAAATAAAAATAATTTATAAATTTCCTGTAGATGTCTTACAAAACTTTTTTTTTAGGATAGAATGGAAAAGTAACAAAATTAAATAGACTAATTCATGTAAGCTAAGGTATATTATATATTCTTATATAAAAAAAAAAGTAAAAAATAGTACCGAGTATAATTTCTCTCCATCTCAATCATAAAAAATCTGTTCAGAATCCTAATTCCAAAATTTGTAATAATCACTTTGATTATAAACCAACCATTTTAATTTTTGAACATTAACTCGTATTAAATTTTAAATATATGTATTAAACATTTAATATGAATTAATAATAACAAATTAATATAAGTTTATTTTATATATATATATATATATATATATATATATATATATATATATATATATATATATATATACACATATGGGGCTGGGGAGGCCAAGTGGGTTAAAGCAAATTAAAAAACACGAAAATACCCAAATGCTGTGAAACTCTGACCCATGGACCTAGATCAATTTGTTCTTGAACCAAAGTGAGACAGTGAGAATGACCCTTTCAAAATGGTCCCAAAGGCCTATAGGCTAAGGTTGGGTTACCCATTTTAAACCATTTGTTCTCCCACAAGCAATATATCTCTGTAATATACTTATATGCAATATATTTGTGCAGCAAAAGATCTATATGGTCTATAAGCACCAATTGAAAAAAAAAAAGAACAGGAAATAAAATAAGAAGACAATCGTACTGAATGAAGGTCGAACATTGGCTTAGCATCAAAAGCCATCCTCACAACAGAAAGGAGTAGAAATCAATTATCAAGAAAGCCCTGGTTCTCAAATGACTATAGAGCCAATTAATAACAATTGAAAAAGGCTTAAGATTAACTTGAAATCCATAATTAAAAATACGTGTTGAAGTAGTGGAATAGTTTATCTGAACTAACATTGGTGGTTAAGATGGCCATGGATCAAGGATGTTCTATTAGAAATTGAAATCAGAAGTCATTTTTCTCTAATGACAGCTCATGCTAAAAAACAAGTCTTTCCTGTAGCTGATTCATGCACCACATATTTTCTTTTATTTTAATATAAGTTATTAATATTGACATCTTAAACTTGAACTTAATCAATTTCATAATATTAATCTCAGAAAATCTCGTTTTCATGAAACATTAAGTAATCCATCCTTGAGTTACTGAGTTTAAATAAATGAATCATCATCTTGCTATTATATTTTTTAGTTAATCCTTTTTTATCATAAAGGAATAAATTTATTCTTTTAAAAATAAAATACATTCAATATTAGAAATTGAAATAGAAAATAACTTTATTCTGGGACAAAGTCCCTTTAGAATAACAAAATAGTATAGAATTAAAAGACTACTTCTGGCTTAAATAAAACATAAAAATAATATCATAATATTATAAATATTATTACAATAAAGACTGATTAATACCTGTTAATTAATTTGTTTATATTAATAAATAGGTTGATTGATGAATCTCCTCGATGGCTTTGGTCTCAAGGAAGGATAGCAGAGAGTGTTAACATAGTGGCTAAAGGAGTTAAATTTAACGGAGGTGACAAAATAGACAAAGCTTACTATGTATCGAAAGGTAAAGCAAAAACAGCAACCATTGAAACTACTTCATCAGCAGGCTTCTTTGACTTATTTAAGACTCCAAGACTTAGAATGAGGATGATTAATCTATCATATAATTGGTACGTGTCTTATGTAAAATTTTTATTTTGTTTCTATTTCTATCGTTATAAAAATATTCAAGAACTAGTGCTATGTTCTGTCCTAAAATTATGGTATGCCATAAAACACAAATTAATTAATATGCTCGTTTATTACATTTTTCCTTGATGAAATATTTCTCAACTATAGGTTCCTCTGCTATGATACTTTGTGGAGTCAGTTTGAATCCAAAGTTATAAATATTAACTTTCTATTATTTTATGAGAAAGAGTTACATCATATTGTGAATTTATAAAAGTATCGTTCATACCCGAATTTAAGTAATTATGTTTCGCTATCATAATGAATGTAGGAATATAACATTTTTTCAAATTATAATTTGTTTAACTTACTGTACAGCTAGTTAATTAAGCCCCAAGCTAGTTAATTATGCAATAAAAAATAACAAGAATTTTCTGCCTCTAGCTTAGGCTTAACTCCCCCTTCAATAATGTTTTTTCTACTTATCATCAACACTAAATGCCTAAACTTATTATATTCTAGATCTATAGCATTGAAATTGTCACTGTCTCTGCAGTTAACCATGTAATTTGCCTTTATTTTGAATCCAATTTTGTTACCATCTTACGTCAATATTGTTGTATTTAGTGTTATAGTTTCTGTGTCTTGACTTAACAGCAAAAAATTGTCGACATATACCAGAACAGATATTTTTCCACCCATTGAATCCTTTTTTGGTACATATCATCTCTTTAATGGCATATTATAAAACTAAATTAAATAGAACAGGTGTAAGGGTATAATCTTATTTTAAAACAAATCTAACCTAAAATTTCTCAGGAAAATAATTAATGATTCTAATTTGATTGAATGTTTCTGCCATGACCTTTGGAAGATTGACTAACTTTTCTGGGATCAAATGTTCAATCGAATATTATACAGCTTCTAACAGTTAATGGAATCAAAAACCTTTATGAAATAAATATAAAGCTGAAAAGCAATGTCATTGAACATTAATTATTTCTTTAAAATTTACCACGAGGAAAACAATTGATCAATAGTTGAACAGTTCCATTTAATACCACATTGATAGTCTCCAATAATTTATGTTATTTGACTAATTAAGATTAATGTGAATATTTTATAATAAACTGAAAGGAGTGAGATTCCTTTATAGTTAGAACAATCCATCCTCTGGCCATTTTTTTTTACTTGAATCAAGTATAGATTCTTTCCATTCCTTCAGCGTTTTCTCATTCTCCTTGATCTTTTTAGCCATGAGATGTATTTCAGAAACCTCTGTTTATCTGCAAGCCTTGAATATTTTACTAGTAATTATATTGGTTCCTGTTGCTTTATAAGATTTTAATTTTTTTTAATAGTTATTTCAACTTCCTTTTTACTTGGTACTTCTGTTAAGTGTTCCAGCACTCTGGCTCTTAGAAGGAGAAGGCAGACTATTATTTCCCATATTTAAAGTAATGTAATAGTATTTCTTTAACATACTTAATATGTCTACCGGATCGATTTTTATATAATTATAGGAAAAGTCTCCTCTAAACCGATGCATACCAAATGACACTCTTACTCATTTAATTTTAGCTTTAATTCCTAAAACTACTTTTCTTTAGAGCCATAAATGAAAAGGATTATTTTCTAGCAGTATATTAATGATCTTTTAAATAACATATCAGTTCATTAAATAAATATTAAAATGTTGTAAAAATTATTTACTTTTATTTGTTGGTATAAATATTTTATTTTTGTCAAATTTAGGTTCGCTGACAGCATTGCCTATTATGGTCTATCTCTTGCCAGTGACAATATGGTTGGAAATCCCTTTTTCATCCTTTTTGTCTTAGGACTGGTAGAAATTCCCAGTTATATATTGGTAATCTTAATGCTGGATAGGACTGGTAGAAGATCCCTCACCAGCATTATGATGTTACTTGGAGCTGCGTCATGTATAGTGGTTGCTCTCATTCCAAAAGGTAATTATCAACGACTTAATTGTAAAATATTAAAATAATCCTATTGAATGAAACAGGTGGTGTGCCAGCTTTCTATGCTAAATGCTAAGATCAAATTTTGGCTTATGGCTTTGTATAATTATATTTTTTTATTGACAAGAATGTTTTAAATTTTTATTTTCATGTTAGTGTAAAATTTTTTTTTTTAGATATGCCCAACATAATCACTGCTATAGCCTGTCTTGGAAAGTTTTGCGTATCCGGAGGTTTTGCTATAATTTTCAATTACAGTGCAGAACTTCTTCCGACCGTGGTTAGAAATGTTGGAATTGGATTTGGCTCAGCTTGTGCGAGACTCGCAGCTATGCTCTGTCCACTTATATTGCTTCTAGTAAGATTCTATAATTTTTACCGAGTTGTTTCCCTCTAAATATTTGAAATATTGCCTCTATTACCATCAAATATTTTTCCTTATTCTAGGAAAATGTCTTATAATTAGTTTTAATGAATGTCATTTTTGCTTCAATTTTATATATTATTCTTAAATTGTTTTAGGATTCCATTGACAAGAGTTTGCCTACAATAATCTTTGCTTTGGCTGCATTTACCTCTGGTTTCTTTACATTGTTTCTTCCAGAGACCCTCAACAAGCCTATGCCACAATCAATGGAAGATGGAGAAAATTTTGGTGTCGGGGACACAGCATTTAACGCTTGTTGCTCTAAGAAAAAGAATGGTGACTACATGCCAGCCAACCCTATTTAAAAAAGTGTAAATTATATTTAAAATTGAGAAAAATTCATCATCAGGCGATTCAACAATATTGATGAAATTTTGTAAATATGTGCATAAAGTTGTTATATATAAAGAATTTTATTTATGATTGTTAATAAAATTTATAAAAAAATGTAAATTTAGGAAATCATTTAGTGTTTCTTGTACTGTTTTTGAAAATATTTGTGTTATTTATTTTGTGTAACATTTAAGCATTTTTAGTGTAAATGTGCTAGAATATTATATATTTTAATTTATTGAAACTATATTTATTGTAATTAGGAATGGAAGTACATTTCTAAATGAAGTCTTTGATGTTTGGATTATTAATGATCATGTTGATTAGCATTTTATCAATATTTTAATAAAATTTCTTATTCATTTTACTAACAAAGTAATTTAGTGAATAATGAATACATAGCTCTGTTATCAATCAACAATTTTTCAAACAAATTGTTTGAAATGCATTTCCTTATTTGTTTAAGATAGTTAGGTTTTATAACTAATTTTGATATATGTATATACACAACTAAATGCATGTGTAATACATAGATTGTTACATAAATAATGTACCAAAACTTAGGAAAATGGAGTAGACCTCAAATGCAACAAAAAAGTTCATATAGGTCCGATTCTGAACAGACCTGGAGTCAATTAAAAATTAGCAATTATTTCTGTTTGTCATGTCTGTCCTTTATTCAATTTTTTAGCAAGTGGTAAGAAAACTCTTTTTAGACTAAATAAAGATACTTGTTTAATAAGTTTTTAGTTCATATTAATTAAATTGAGCTTTGTTACAGAATAAGTTGAGCCTTCAATTGTTCAAAACATTTAAAGTGCCAGTGTTTTCAGAACCAATAATGACAATAAATAAATACAAAGTTCTTATTTATTTTCTTTCTGTTATCTGAAATGTATTACGACAAATTAATTACTAAAACACACTTTTTATAAATATAAATTTGTAAGATAAAATACTTAATATAGGTATAACAAATTCACCTGTAAAAATTTTTTAAAAAATTAATTGATTTTAAATAACTAAATTTATTTATAATATTTATCTGGAAATAATATTAAGCTTTAAAAGATTTAAATTGCATTAGACACTAAACACCTTCATTGCTAAAACCCAGCCATATGCCAGGGAGCGCCCAACACATTTTGGAAATTAAATTTTAAAAAATTACAACACATATGAAAATAATTAATTTTATCTTATTAATAAAGCAACTGGATTAGAGACAAATTCCCATCTGGTGATCCCTAATCCTGCACATGGTCTCATAAGACTAATTATCTGTTGTTTTTATTTTCATCTTTCATAGAAATTTCTGAAACTCAAAATGCAATAGAAATGACAATAATTATCAAAGGCTTAAAGAGAAAACAAAAACATGTAGATGTTAGGATTGATTCATTATTATGTGAGAGAATGTCTGTGAAGAAAAGTGATATCCTAGCATCCTTCCTCTTCCAAGTCATCCAATCCCGCCATCCTTCATACATCTCCGAGCTCCTTCAACACAAATCCTCTGTCCACTCCCGCAAAACCCATTCCCGGTCTTCAGATTTGTATACAAGATCCCACTGAACCGCTGCTTTCGACAAATCTTTCATTATTCAATCCACATCCCTACGGAATTCTATCCCATCCTACATCCGTTCCTCCAACACCCTCTCCACCTTTAAATCCCGTCTGTTCAATCACCTCTCATTTGTTCAGTTCTCATAAAATTGTAAATAGATTTTGTAAATATGTATATAAATAATTAGTTTGTTTTAAATACTTTATTTCTTTTTTTTTTTAATTGAGTATTGAAGGTAAATAATATCCTTTTCTTTTGCTTATGCATTATAAAAATCAGTTTATTCTGTAATTATTCTCTGAGGTTTCAAAGCCCACATTTCTGACTCTGTACATTATTTTAAAGGAACTTGTCCCAGAATAAATAAAGCGTTATTATTATAATTAGGACACTCAACATCAAGGAATTCAGACTGAAGCTTTTTTCCCTTCTTCCTTATTACCCCTAAAAAAATTGGTTCATTTTCATTTCTATGAATGCTCCATACCAAGTGCCTGGCCTTTGGAAGGAGGGCACTGATGAGGAGGGAAGTGCACACCACTTGTTAGGAATTGAAAAATAAATTACAAGGCTTATAGGATTCATTAATTTTATCCTATTAATAAAACAACTGAATTATAGAAATAATGAATGAAATAAAATTCAAATATTACTTTATATAAAGCAGCTTAAGAAATAAATTCATTTTTTGGGAAGAGTTGACGTCATCGCCCGGGGGGGGGGGGCAACGAATGTCCCAGGCCACCACAATCTAAGTCACATTAAATTTTCTTCTGAGGACCCACCTGTTGCTACGAGGTATCTCTATCCCCAGATACAAAACTAGATCCTGAAACCGTCACTGCGTTAAATCCACTACTCCTATACCATATTTTAACATTCCTTATGAACAACAATAAGTCAGGTTCTGGCAGGACGTGAATAAAGAAAGCAGCTGGAAGGAGAGAAAGGAGTGGCCAGCAAGTTTGCTTTCATAGTCGCTCTGATAAGAAAGAGTCGAGAACCGTTTACCCGATTTGGTGTTTGTAATGATCGAAAATGTTTTCGGTTCAAATCGAAATATCAACCGGTCCAACGAATTCTTGATTGATTGATGCGCTTACGAAGGCGGTAGTTCTACTCCTTTATTCCGCACCTATCCCGGCAATCGTCCTTTTGCTGGTAATGTGCTCACACATACTACCCCATATTCAACCAAATATTTCCCTCTCAAACCTGAGGAGGACTTACTTTTTGGCTTTAGTTGTGATTCACCATTTTGATCTATATGTAAGTTACATATACAAGAGGAAGTTTGTTAGTACGATTGTTTCTTACTTTTGAAACCTTGGATAATGCATCGTTCTTAAATGGTTTAAGAAAGAAAAAAAGACACCATTTGTCGAGAGGATTCGCCTTTCTTCCTTCATGCTGATTTCAAATGGAGTTAATGAAGTTGGGCTATTATATCCAGAATAAAACGGTTTATCTTCAGTTTTATTGGCATATTGATCAATGAATTGATAAATTAAAAATTGTTTTTCTATGTGGCCGCACCCTTCGTTGGAATCACAGGCGGATCTACGGGGAGAGCTTTCGGGCTGAAGCCCTCTCCCCAAAATGGTAAAATATAATCATGTTTACAGAAAAAAATATTAAAAACTATCACTTTAAGTATTCTTGTCCTTTAATTACATTTAATAGGACTTCAAGAACCACTTAAACACCATTTCATATAGGTAGTTAATTTCTTTCTTTTTTTTTTCAAATTAATTATCGTTATATGTATATGAAAAAAAATCTTTCGGACTGAAGTCCCCCCCCAAAAATTAAATCCTGAATTCGCTAGTGGTTGGAATGTAAAGAAAACATATTTTGAAGTTTCTTGGCTCCAATAAACCAAGAACCGCGAAATGGTCTGTGTGTGTGTAGCTGTTTGTGAACAGCTTAAAAACAAAAAGTCGTAAGAAACTAAAATTACATATTAAGGTAGCTAAGTACATGGAAGGGAGGCCTGTGGTGTTACAGCAACATTTTCCTCAAATTCGACTAATTTGAAGTGGTACTTAACATAATCGAACATACACACTTTTAATTATTTTTTTTCGAAAACGTCTATGACAATTTCGATTGAATTCACTATGTCAACGTAAAATCAAGTCATTTTTAATACCAGTCAAAATTTAGTAGCAGACGAAATAGTCTGACAGGGTATAAATGCCGATTATTCAAAGTTACGTCATCTAAAGTACCTTCATAATAGTATGGAAATGGTTGACCGTAGGTTCTGAATGAGTCGACGTACTGTCTTCAGCAGTGCCAGACGGAATGCCCTGATGAAGAACTATAAAGTAGGTCGAAACGTTGGACAATGCAATAAATATACTATAATATGATATAGTATTTTTTGACCACACCTCCTACAAACTTCTTCTGAAATAAAGTACCTTTAATTTTGTTTATTTAAAAAAAATAACTATTTCACAATGCGCCTAGTAATAAAAAATTTTTAAATATAAACAATGACGAAATTTGATTATTAACTAAAGGAGGAATAAGGATTTTTTTGTTCCTCCTCTTCCCCACCTGTAAGACTATACGGGGTTTCCCCGGACCAGAGGATGAGAGAGGGGATTAATGTCACGAGTTCCCTCGAGCTAATGGTTATTAAAATATTTTAATAATACTTTCGTAAACAGCCGAGAACGCCAGACCTTTGCCGATCTCCTTCCATTTACAGATACCAGAGCTACCCTCTGTACAATGTTTTCGTATTGTTAGTTTAGTTGTAATGTTTCACTAATGCATAAATTAAAGAAAAAAAAAATTATGCGAAGTGTTGAGAATCTACTAATATAAACATGGAATATACAACATATACTAATGTTAACTCCTTTTTTCAACGATTTTCGTGATAGATATTTCCGATAAAACTAATTTTTTTCCAAATGATCCATTTTTTCCAAAACGATGAGATCTATTATATATCATGTGCAGTCGTTAAAGGATATGGAAACTGACGATAACTTCTAAATTTAATACTTCCGATGTGTGGGAAATGCATCATAATTAATTCCTTTAAATGAATAACTGCATCGTCTATAATGCTTTACTTCAACTTCTCTTTGTACGAAAATACTTATTTCCACTTTCAGTGGAGTAGTAAGCGAAAGTTGAGGTATTGTGCGCACCGCACCAGATTTTCTACTTTTCTTTTTATACTAAATGTATTTCCTAGAGACAAACTAAAATCGTGTTTTCTTCATTAACCAACTTAACCTGACATTAAATTTTAATTAAATCCTTATGTTATATCATAACAGTGACGCAATGCAGTTGGCATGAATAACAGAACACATTAAACATGCTCAATTAAACACTTTAATATTTAAAATCATCATACAATTGTAAAACGTGTAAAGAGATTGTTCAAATAAACAAAGATAATGTGGCTGAGGATTGTACAAGCAGCGTGGAGGGGGTCGCCACAACCGGCACAAGCACACGAGATGTCGGGGAAAGAGGATCACTTGGAATCACTCATGTCTCACCTCGGTGAGTAGTTCAATACGCATACATTTGTATTTTTATTTATCAATCAGAATTAATAATCAATTTTATTAGTTCCTCTATATTATTCGGTGTTAATTCGTTCTCAACAATGTATATCACATTTCGAGAATATGAAGAATAAAGCACAATATTTATTCAGAAAATATGTTATAATTTTCTTCTGTTTTTTCCAAATGGCTAATAAAACCGATAAACTGAGTTATGCCCTTATTGAACTGAGTTATTTATTTTTTATTACAATTACCAACGTTTAACGAGCCTTCTTCAGTAAGATCTTGCATTATCCCATTCGCTAGCACCGCAATAGTGACATATCAGCGAGAACTACAAAGAACAAAAAAGAGATCATGATATAATAGGGTGGATAGAAAAACATATACATATGTATATATGTTTTAAATCTATTTACTATAGAACAAATGCAATTCAGGAGATAAAAAGGGAAAATTAACAAATCAAATCCATTCATAACCTTCGATCGCTCATGTGTTTTGAAATTTACGAAAACCTTTGAAAATTGACATTTCCACTAGTTTTTTCCACATTGTACTATTCGGATCTAATATCTCAAATTGTTATGATTTATAACCACCATAAATACTGTTAAAATTGTATTGGAATCCATCATTCTTTGGATAGTGCATTGCATTCAACGTTGATAAAAAATGGAGAAAGAATCTACTTAAGAAAAGGTAGACTCAGAACTTACAGTTTTGTTTTTTCAACCATTTCGTTTGCCTAAATAAATTCCAAAAAATCTCCGAAAGTTTTCAAATTAG